CAGAGGCCTCGGGGCATTTGTTAAAGCAGGGACCAGCCATCCCATCATTCCATTCGGCCTACAATGAAAGATTCTTAGAGCGCAGGAGTGTTCTGAGATCGATAGCAAGGTTGTTGGAACCGAAGGCCGATGTCCGAAGCTGTCTCCGCCAAAACGTTTTTTCCCCTAAAATATCTCGTGCAATCTACAGAAGGTTATCAAAACACTCCTTGGTGGGTCCATCGGCAAGGGACGCCTCGTCGCCACTGCCTGACTCCAGGAAGCCCAGAGAGCATCGACGATCGTGCCATCAGATGCTTTCATAGCGGGATATCCTATCTCGAAGAAGAGTAAACGGTATAAACATAAGCTGTTGAGCTGGACCCCCCTGGCGGCGCCTCCGGCGCCGCCCCTGGCGCGCTGCGCGCTCCGCGCGCCAGCTCAGATCCAAGAAATCCACGCGCGGGTGAGTGCGTGCTGCGCCGCCGCGCGCGCATCTGGCGACCTGCGGCGTGGCCGCCGTTGGTCTTGAAGTTTTTTGTTGGGAAGGGGTGCCGCAAGGCCGAAGCGCACTGGACGTGGATAAACAAGTGGCCTTTTGGGGCCAGATGTGTATGCACATCCAGTGCGCCTCCGGTTTCCGGGGAAGGGAGCCCAAAAGTCCGAGACGCATTGCATGTGGATATAACTACTGCCCGCAACCGTGGCCACGCCGACGCCGCGCGGCGGTCGGGCTGCCGCCGCGCTCTCCCGCCCCCCGAGGGGATCCCACCTCTCTCTCGGCGGCGCGCGCGCGCGCCACACAGCGGCGGGGCGCGGCGGAGGAAGCAAGCGCTGGGAGGACCGGGCCGACGCGCAGGCGCCCGCCCGCCCCTCCCCGGAGGATTCGGGGGGCGGCCAAGAGGGGGGTGCTGACTGGGGGGGGGCGGGGGGTATCTTGGCGTGGGCCATGATTGTTCCTCACACATCCTGGCGCCTCTTCTCGTTTCGTTACGTTCCTGCCCCACCCCCCCCTGGGCCGCGCACATGCTGCCGGCCATGTTTTGCGCCCCCCCCTCTTGGACGCCCCCCACCTTGGCCGACCCCGAAAGACAATGATCGGGTTGGGAGGGTGGGGCTGGGATAAGTGAGGATATCATTGCCCCTAGACGGCTGTAGGCATCGTTCGTTGCATCTGGATGCTTTTGCTTATAGCCTTCGTCTTCCCAGCCGCTTCCTCCCAACACGGTAACTGTTATCCTCACCCTCGGGCGGATGGCAATGGGGGGTGACCCAAATGGGGGCTGAAGAGAGCGGCCCCAAAGGGGCCCTTCAGGGCCCTTCTTGGAGCCAGCTGGGGCCCTCAAGGGCCCCGTTTTGGGTCTTCGTCTTCGTCTTCACCCCCCATGTAGGTCGCCTCTCATTACCAGCCGCCCGATCCCCTCCTTTTTACCAGCTTGGTGCAGCGTTCCTAACGATTCGAGTTGGAGATCGATGGCATAAGAAGTTTACCACAACAAATTGTTGGTTTGTCGACTCGAAAGAAGCACTACGTATGATACTGCGTAGATCTCTACGGGGCATTATTCGTATGTTGATTGATTCGGCGAGCCAAACAAATTCGGGGTAAATGAGTTATGTAGTCGATCCCCCATTCGAATTTTTGGCATTACTGTACCTCGGTGCCGATCTCGAGGATTCCCTTGGTTTTCAGAGCACATGTTCCTCATCTTGGCATGACCTTGGGCTTGCCGATTGCAGGATCAGTTCGAGGCTGGTTATGTCTTTCTCGCTGGGCCGCGCTTTGGGCGGGGATGGGGGGAGGGGAGTCCTTCCTCGTTCTCCACCACTGTCCTCCCTCCCTCCTCCTCCTCCTCTAGTGCTCGTCCTCCTGACTCTGCGGTGGTGTGTACTACTCTTTCGGTCGCGGGACAGCTCTCTTGCATGAGCAGCGGTTGGTGGCTCTGCTGGAGAGAATCAGTGTTCGTGAAGCCTCCAAGCGAGGTCGATGATTCTAGCTCGAGCTAGATATCTAGTGCTGTACACCCTCCCTCTCGGGGCTGTGCCATGCCTCCCCTGCCTCCCCTGCTCCTCCTCTCCTCCCCCTCGTCCCCCCTCTCCCCCCCATCCTCTCCTCGCCCCTGTCGTCCCCCTCTCTCTCTCTCTCTCTCTCTCTCTCCGGGCTGTGCCAGGAGGAGGAGGAGGAGGAGGAGGAGGAGGAGGAGGAGAAGAGTTGCGGGGGGGCAGGTCCTCCCCCCGTCATCTTCTCCTTGCTCCCTCGTCCTCCTCCTCGGCGGTGGCGGCGGGCGTCGGCCTTCGGTTGGTCCGTCGCGTCGTCGCGCCTGGGGGGCTGCGGCGCGGCGCGCCCGCGCGGGCGGGGGATCCTCGGAGGAGGATCGCGTGCCGATGCCGCTGCCCTCGCCTCTTTCGCGTCTGGTGGGCCTCCCGGGAGGCCCTCGTCGCCACCGCTGGGTTCGCCTCGAAGTCCTGGTCGGAGCGCGCCCCCTGCGAGGTCTAGGGGGCCTCTCGGTTTCCCTGTCTCCTCGACCGTCACTGTGGGGATGTGGCCATCTGCTGGGGGGTCTGCTGTCACGAGTGCCAGCACTTCGCGGTACAGCGGTAGACGAATCGAACATCGAATTATGTATGAGTATCTGTATCTCTGTCTTTTATTGTTCTATGTCTGTTTCTCTCTCTCTCTCTCTCTCTCCTTCTCTATATATATGTGTGTTTGATATCTCTCTCTTTCGGTGTATACGTTATATACATATGTATGTATGTATAGATGTACATCTATATATATATATATATATGTATGTATCTGTTCGTGTGTAGCTAATCAGCTGCCTGTGGGAAGTCCCGCCATTGTGTCAGCCCAGCATTCTGGGTCGCGATTTTTTCTGAGGGGCATGGGAGACCGCCACGTGCGATACCTCGTGTCTCCAGGGTTGGGAGCGCCGTGATGATGGTGTTGATACTGTGTTTGTTGTTGCTGGTGGTGTTGATCATGATTGTGTTGGTGATGATCCTGATGATGCTGATGCTGCTGATTATACTGATGATGATTATGATGATGATGATGATGCTGTTGATGATGATGATCATAATGGTTTATGGTGGGGTTGGTGATGATGATGATGATCATGCTGGTAATGGGGATGGAGAGGTGTTTGAGGTTGATGGTGAGTATGATGCTGATGGTGGTGATGTTGATGCTGATGATGATGATGATGATGTTGATGCTGATGATGCTGATGCTGATGATGATGATGCTGCTGCTGATGATGATGATGATGATGCTGATGCTGATGATGATGATGATGATGATGATGATGATGATGATGATGATGATGATGATGAGAGTGATGGCATGTGTTGGCTTGGTGATGTTAGCACACATGAGGATGAGGATATCGATGACGATGACGATGAGGATCAGGACGGGGACGAGGATGGTCGCGGTGGCGGTGGTAGTGGTGATGATGATGCTGATGGTGAAGATGGTTATTCTAATGGTGGTATGGTCGTGGTGGTGATGATGATGAGGAGGATGAGGATGGTGAGGAAACTACCAACAGCACATCAGTGAGTTGGGCTTCTTCGGTCCCTGGTGGAGGTCCCCTTGTAGCCATGTGGGCCCTTTGGGAGGCATACTGCGCCGTCTTGAGGCCAGATTGGGCCGCCTTGGAGCCATCGTGGGCCGTCTTGGAGGCAGATTGGGCAATCGTGGTGTCCTTTGTTGCCTGCATGGGCCGTTTTGGAAGCTCAGAACGCGGACACATCGTTGTTTACGAGGGATCGTGGCCTCGGGAGCGCGGACCCATCGTTATGTTAAGAGAGGTCGTGCCCTGGGGTAGCCCTACCAGACAGCCTTGGGCATTCTTCAACGCCTCGACGTGCACAAGGCACGGTGGCGGATATCCGTGTGTATCCATCTCTCTCTCTCTCTCTCTCGTTCTCTCTCTCTCTCTATTTATATATATATATGTGTGTATCAATGTTTTTGTTTGTTTGTCCCTCTCTCTCGTTCGCTTCTGCCCTGCTGATTCCACTGGGAATTCCGCTTCCCCCTGGGAATTCCGTGCTTCCGTGTGGGTCGTAGTAAACGTGACCCGTCTCCGTCGTTCTTGGCGTTGCCGTGGTCGTGGTGCGCGGTGTTCTGCTCAGGACGCGTTTTCCTCATGCAGTGGCCACCGCCACCTTCCTCTTCCTCCTGCTGTTCCTCCCTCCTGCTCCCTCCTTCGAAGAAGGACACCCGGCATTCATGTAACTGTTCGGAGGTCTGTCCGTACGTCTCGGATCGGCGTTGGACCATCCTCCCTGGCGCGCTAGTGCGGCGCCAGGCGCGACGCCAGGGGCGTCCAGCGCCGATCCAAGACATCCACGTAGACCTCCGACTGTTTATGCTCATGCCGCTTGTTGTGTCTCCACTCTGTTCCATTCTGCCTCCCTCCTGCTCCTCCTCATGTTCCCTCCTCATCCCTCCTGCTCCCTGGGCTGCCGAAAACAGCCTGGGCGACAAGACATTGGCAGTCGCAGCGTATTGCCGAGGGGCTACCTTTCTCTTCCCCTCCTCCCTCTGGGGTCGGGTTCAGTAGAGCCGCTTCTTCATCAGCAGTGTTCTGGCTGAGCCAGAGGGCCAGTTGCTGTTTCATTTGATTTCTGCGCCTCGATTGCCCGAAGCGAATGTCGACAAAAAGTGTCCTCAACTCCTGCTATCCCTCCTCGTCCCTCCCGCTCTGCCCACACTCCTGCTTCTGCCCCCCCCCGCCCCCTGCTTGTGCTCCCTCCTGCTCGTGCCCTCCCTCCTGCTTCTGCTCTGCCCCTCCTGCTCGTGCTGGTGGGCCGATTTTCCAGCACCACTACCATAGATAGGGGAGGCAGGGGGAGGAGGACCTCAGGATCCTCCCTGGTAGCGTTGGTGGGCAAGTGGCCCACTGTGAGTTCCCTCCTGCCTCTGCTCCCTCCTGCTTGTGCTCCCTCCTGCTCCTGCTCCCCCTCCCTGCTCCCTCCCTGCCGAGGTGCAGTGGGGGGAGACCGTCATGGGCGTCGACGAGGGCGACGGCTGGCTGAAGGCTCGGGCGCGGCCCCGACGACGACGACGACAACGCCGACGCCCTGGGGGGCGGGAGGAACGATCGAACGAACGAAGCCGCCGTCGCGGGGAAGCCGGCATCCTTGCAAGGGAGGCAGATTGGGCGTCGCTAAATTTTGGACGCCCGAAATGGGCACGGAAAGAATGGGCACCATGCTCAACAACAAATGTTGTCCCAAACCAACAGCGGCCGTTGTTGGGCAGGCGGCCTTCTGTCTCAAATGGACACAGGCCGCGGCGACACCGACAGCGAGTCCTGTTCAGAATGAACAGGAACTGTTGTTGGGCATTGTACCCATTCTTTCCGTACCCATTTCGGGCGTCCAAATAAATGGGGGGGAGAAAGGTGCCCATACCAGGCCCGAAAGAGGCCCCCTTCTGGGCCCTTGGCGGGGCGCGCCAGGGGCGGCGCCGATCCAAGACATCCGTGCGGACTCCCGAAAGTTTCTGCTGATGCCGTTTACAGGCTGCACGTAAGAGTGACGCTTCGCCAGAGTCCTTCGCCGGAGTGACCATTGGTGCGCTGTTTTCGGGGGGTGCTGCGGACAGGCCGCCACTGTCGCACCGCACGCAACGGCCCGCAAGCTGGTCACTCCTGCCGACTCCGGATTCTGAATTTTTTTGGGGGGGAGGATTTGAGCTTTCTTGGAGGGTTCCAGGGGGGTCTGGGCAAAAGGCCGCCTGTTCCTGGCTGGTCGGGGGGGAAGGGGGTCCAACACTGCTCGTCTGGGAGGGTTGTGACCCCCTCCCTTTCCTCACGGAATTTGGAGTAGGGTCACTCTTACGTGTATCGGAGCAAAAAAAGAAAACAATTACATAAATTCAGATTTTCGACGGTCCGCGCGGATCGCTTGTATATTGTTTGAACATTTTGGGGTATTTTATTGTATTTTTGACTATTTTTGATTGTTTGTCCAAAATCCCCCTGTAGGGGCACAGGCCCGCCGTAAGCCAAGCCCGTCCGTTCCTTTTGCTCTGCGCTCATCGTCGGCACGAGGACCGCAGGAGGCCCGACCGCCCGCCCCCGCCCGGGAGTGCGGGCGGAGTGGCGAGCGGCGGGCAGCCAGAGGCCCTCGTGGCGACCGCTGGATTCGCCTCGAAATCTTAGTCAGAACGCACCCTGGGAGAGGTCCGGGGAGTACCGGTGTCGGTAGCGCTTGATTTCCCCAGCCTCTCGTGGCGCCAAAGGATGCCTTAGCCACGGCCTGAGCCTCGACCCTCGATCCTCGAAGTTCCCCCCCGCTTCCACCCTGCTATTCGAGGAAGGAGGAAAGCAGGGACCAAGGCGCGTGGGCCAGTGATGGGCTTCGTTTCCGTACAGGATCGACGCGTTCCGTCGCCAAGTCGGGTGGCACTGACCCTATGTTGCGGTGGTGCTTTCCTGAAGCCGTGGACCTGGCGCCCGCGCGACGGAGCCACGGATGCCTAGTCCATGTCAGCGTGTGCCCGATTTCGGGACCTCGCAGAGGTCAAAAAATAGTCCGGGGACCATTTTCTGACTATGTTTGAATATGTTTGGAGTATTTCTGAACTATCTTTATTTTTCGTCCAAAATCCCCCTGTAGGGGGACAGGCCCGACTTAAGACCAGGATTGGCTCAATCCGAAGCGTCTGTGACGCTTCCACCGCATCCCCGGTCAGGTGGTCCAGTCCGTCCAGGCCTCTTGCGGCCTGTCGTTTTTTTCACTCGGCTTTGATTTTTCGCTGTCGCTTCGGTCGGTGTGTTCAGTGGCTGCGGCCATGGACAACTCGGGAGGAGGGGAATGAGGAGGAAGAGGCTGCACAACAGGAGGGAGACGGGAGGGGGGATTGGCGTTGGACGAAGAGGAAGAAGAGGAGGATGAGGAGGAGGAGAGGGCGTGAAATGGGAAGGAGGAGGGGACACAAATGGGATCTTGTTGTGATGTCTAGCGGTCGCTTCGGCAGTGAACGCACTGGGGCAGGAGTGAGGAGACAGAGGTGCACACGTGGAGCGTTCCAAAAAGAGCCCTGCCTTCGAGGATCGAAGGAGTTGTCGTCTCTTCCTCTGCGGAAGGCGGCGGAAGTTCTGCGGCAGTAAACGACGAGGCCGCCTCCGCCGGCGGAAGTCTGGCTGACGGCGTCGGAAGTAGAACATGCGTTCCCAAGAGATGAAAATGTTTTTGGGGATCAAGGTTCCCGGAATCGCGAGCATATAGGGTTATTTCCGATAAGGCAACAAGAGAGTGCCAGAGAGAGAGGGAGGGTAAGAGCGAGAGAGAGAGAGACAAACTTGTACATACACACATATGTATATGAATATAAATGTATGCATTTATTTGTTTTTATTTATGTATTTATATATTGTTGTTTATTTATTTAATTATTATTTTTTTTATTTATTTATTTATTTATTTATTTATTTATGTATTTATGTATTTATGTATGTATGTAGTTATTTATGTATGTATGTATTTATTTATTTATTTATTTATTTATTTATTCCTTTATTTATATATATAAATATATATACGACAGGCAGGTACGTGTAGGGGGAGAGCAGTGCAGGGAGAGGCAGAGGGAGAGGCAGATGAAAGGAAAGGTGTGCGATGCGGTTGCGCGCGTGAGCTCGCAGGTAAACAGTTATGGCGATCTGGATCCATAGGTGGGCTGTCTAGAGGGCTATGTGTGCCCACCTCGGGGTCACGCCAGGGCCTCCTCGGGTCGCATAGGGAGAGGAGAAGACCGAGGGCGAGGAGGAGGCGGGATGGGGGAGGATAGTGAGAATGAGTGTGGGAACCTGCCACGATTCTCGGGGGTATAGCCGGGCGTCTTGCGGCCTACTGGAGTGCCAAAGGGGAGGTGCCGAATACGAGGCGATGTCATATCCTCCCCTGGGCACACCTTCTGTCTTGGCAGGGGCGCCCTGGCACCCACCCCTATTCCAGAGCAGAGTGTTCAGAATCACACACCCCATCGGCGGATATACGCATGTGTGCGCGCATGTGCCCGCACATGCATCAGAGTTTCGTGTGAACGTGCAAAGCCCTGGGGATCCTCGCCGTGGCTGCCACAACGGATTAAGAGCCACGTAGATGGCAGTCGATGATTTCAGCGATGGTAAGAGATTGGTAAGGTATTGGTAAGGGATTGGGTTTTTGGCACGCATGCGTCTAGGTGCCACCCGCCGTCCTCTTCCCTTGCTCTTCCACCAGCAACCGACGACTTCGATGATTGCAAAGAGCAGGACGTGCAGAGAGGAGGGGCGCAGGTCGGCAACCTGTATCTCCCGTTCATTGCCAACAACTGCCCTGTGCTGGTGCTGGATGCCCAGGACCCAGCCGGAGGGAGCCAGAGGGATCGGATGTGGCTTCCGCACAGGACGGACAGCAGCGCCAACAGCATGGGCATGCAAACAGTCGTTGACCAAAACAAGACGGCACAAACATCAACTTCCGGCGCTCCGCGCGGATTTCTTGGATCTGCGCTGGACCCCCCTCTCTGGAGCGCGGAGCGCGCCAGAGGCGGCGCCAGAGGGGGGCAGCGCGGATCCAAGGAGTCCGCGCGGGGCGCCACAAGCGTATGTTTACGGCGTTTTTTCCTAAGCAGAGGAGTGACAGGGGCACGCAGCACGCTGTGAGTCGGCAGCGCCTGCGGCCGCGGCCCGCGCCGAGCGCGGGGCGCCCAGGTGGGGAAGCCGAGGGCGGCCGGAGAGGAGGAAGGATCGAGTAGGGGATCGACTGCAGAGTTGCTTTGCCCCAGAGTTGATTGTCTCGTCTCGCAGGCGATTTCTCTCCCCCAATCCCCGACTTCCGCCAGAAAAGTTTGGTCGCTCAGAAAAGGGGAGGAATCTTGGGATACATCCCGAGGGGGCTATTCGGACGCACCCCTATCGAGAATGGACACCCCCCCATCGTATATCCCAGGGTTAGGCCCCAAATTTCTGGTCCGTTCGGAAACCCCACGAAGCCTGGGATAGGGGTCGACATATCCCCTGTTATCGTCGAGGGTCAGGAAAATACGTCGACTGTTCGTAGATCAACGCACGTGTGCTTCGTAGAGCCGGCAACCCGATGCTGCAGCTGCTCCCCTGCTCGAGAGGAGGAGGGGAGGCCCGGCCGCCCGGCCCGAGGCGCGCGCCGCCCTCCCAGGAAGCCGGCGTCCGAGCGCTCCCGCCGAGAGTCGGCGGGCGAGGGGCGCGCGGGGGCGGGGCCTCGGGCACCGGGGGAGCGGTGCGCAGCGGGGGGCGGAGCAGCAGGGTGGTGCCTGGGGGGTGACGTGGTGAAGATATAAGGCCCCAAAGGGGCTCTTTAGGGGACCTGTTCAAGCCAGCTGGTGCCAAAAAGGAGCCGTAAAGGGCGCCTGCAGGGACTTTCTCTTCACATCCAGTTTGGGTCACCCCCCGCTCCCCAGTACCACCCGCCCGAAGTGTGGAATCCACATCACAGCTTGGGCCCCGAGATATCTCGCAGACGAACGAACTCCACGAACAGAAACTTTTGGCGCTCCGCGCGGATTTCTTGGATCCGCGCTGGGCCCCCCGGCGGCGCCGCCGGCGCCGCCCCTGGCGCGCTCTGCGCTCCATATAGTGGGGCCCAGCGTAGATCCAAGAAATCCGCGCGGAGCGCCAACAGTTTATGTTCATGCTGCTCTGTCTTCTTTCCATACATGTCACAGCTTGCTCACTGAGATATTGCACTCGGCTCTCCTAGAGCAGGGGACGCGTCAACGCCACCGAGTAGCCAACGCGTTGCGTTCACAGGCGACATGTGCGCTGGTTATGTAGCAAAGCATGGGCGCCTTGTGTGTCTTCGCAACTCAGTCTTTAGAGCGCGTCAGCGTGCGCCAGCATCTGGTAATCGATGAGAGAGCGCCGACTTGGCGTCGAGGAGCGTCGGTTTCGCGTCGACGAGTGTCGATTTAGCGTTGCTTTATTTTCGACTAGCGTCGATCAGGTTCGATCCGCAAGAGCCTGCAAGATAGTATGTGAGGGCCCCATGCATTGCCCCCGAAGGATGAGGAAGCAGAGAAAGAGGAACATCTGAATAGGGTCCAGAATGAGTGCGTCGGGTGTGCGGCTCAGTGCTGTGCGATTGCAGGAGCAGGAGCAGGAGGAGCAGAAGCAGCAGGGGGGCCCGCAGGACCCGCTCGCCGGCTTCTACGCGGCCCGGAACTGAGCGCTCTGGCGGCCAGGCGAAGGCGCCGCCGCGGGTCGGGGGCCGTGCTGGCTGCGCACCCCCCCCAGTCGGAGTCGGGCGAGTGGGTCCTTCTGCAGAGGGGGTCTCGACACTCAGCGCAGCAGTTCGTGCAGTGGTTCGTGCGGGACACGCAGAGTCGTGCAATATCAACGCGTGGCTACCAGGCGCCGTGCGCCACAGGACGAGCTGTTTGCATCTGTGTGTTGCGACCCCGTTACGAAAGACCCCCTGTTGCCTAGAACCAACCCAGAAAAAAAACCCTGCCCTTCAGAAAGGCCCACAATGAGGGCAGCCATTCCGGCGTGTTCGTCGTGGCTGTTTCTGGCCTCGATGGGACCCTCACCAGGCTCAGGGCCCGTCAAAAGACGACGCCGCATGAATAGCCAGCCACCACAGGAGAGGTTCCAGACTTGCTGGGGCCCATCGGTCCACGGCGATGCTCGAGGAGCATCGGCTCAGACAGGGGCTGCACCGACCCCCCCCCCAATCGCCTGTGCATCGCCGATGTGAGGACGACAGCCCATCCCGCCAGGGAACGTGCGGATTCGATATCGGGGGCCCGTTGCCCATCTATCGGCGATGTATCGCTGGCACCCCCCCAGGGAGCTTCGAAGCGCTTTTGGAGCGGCCGCGACTCCCAGTGCAACTCCCAGAGCCCCCGTTTTCAGAGATTCCCGAATTATCCACATCCGAAGAATATTTATCTTCATCTCCGTCGAAAGTTGCTACCTTCTACTGCGTTCTCTCTATCTCCCTCTCTCTTTCTATTTCTTTCTTGGGCATCCAGGAGGGCTAAAAATACCACCAGGACATCGACGTCCTGATTCCTGTCGAGGTTTGAGGCAGTCCAGATAGGTCTATAGGTCTGGAGTGTCATTTTCACCACTCTGGAAGGTCAGGGTTCTCCCTCCCCCAGATGACCAGATCTTGGCTGCTCTTGGCGACTGGCCCAGGGCCCCTCGTCCCCCCGTCTGCTTGCGCTGCGCGACGGGTAGAAGCGCATTGGCTGAGCACCGGCCCAGACCCAGACCCCCCGGCTCCTCCCCCCAGCCCTTCGGCCAAATGTCGGGACTGCCATACGCTGTTGGAGCTCCGCGCGGCTCTCTTGGATCGGGCCCCTCCGCGCTCCAGGGAGGAGGGTGCAGCGCCGATCCAGGAGAGCCGCGTGGATCTCAGCAAAGCTCCTCCATACCAGTGCCAGGGGGACGCATCCTGGCAAGTGACGGGGGCCGCGTCGGGGAGCGCGATCGTCCGTGCTGCTGCGCCGACCCGCGCGGAGGCGTCCCTCTCCGCCCTGGCACCGGACTTGTCCGGGGGGCCCGCCGTGCTGTTGAGAAGCCCCTTGTGCGTGCGCGCGCCTTGCTGGCTCAGCGCCTGTCCAAGCTCATCTTCGGGCGCGAGGCCGAGCCTCGTGGGGTGACCTTCATTCGGCCATGGTCTCGACGGCAGACCGTCGTTGCCCAGGGTACGGTTCCCAAGTTGACAGGGCCTCTTGGGGGACGCATGGCACGATGGCTCCGCCCCGCCCCGCGCGGGGCTCGGGAGGAGGAAGGCAGAGGAGGACGCAAGTGCCACGCGTGTTGCCAGTGCGTGTTTTAACCTTCGCACTGTTTGACCTTCTCGACCTTGAGAAGACCAGCACGTTGGCCTGAAGGCCCCACGGGGCAGCGCTGCGTGGCAGGGTGGGCGGGCACCTTTTTCCCCAACGCAGCCGCGTTCGAAAGGCATAGATAGCTCATACGTATACTGTCGGAGCTCCACGCGGATTTGTTGGATCGGCGTTAGACCTCCCTCCCTGGCGGCTCCTCCGACGCCGCTCTTGGCGCGCTCCGCGCGCCAGGGAGAAGGGTACGACGGCGATCCAAGAAATCTGCGCGAAGCTTGCACAGCTTGAACGCTTATGTTGTCCCCTCCCGCTAATAGCCGCGTTGAATCGAGCCACTGTGCAGCATACACGGCCGCCTGCGACAGCGATCCTGCGAGCAGCCCCCTCTTGCAGCGTTGTGCGTCTGCTGGTTGGTGATGTCGGGGCCACCTCTTCGCCTCGCGCGCCCGCTGCCTGGTCGGCTCTCGGGGAGCCGCCTTCCGCGCCGAAAGAACAGGTCAACCGAGGAGCACTCAAGGATGCTAGAAGGCACAACGGTGTAAACATAAACTGTCGGAGTTCCGCACGGGTTTCTTGCATCAGCAACGGGCCCCCCCCAGCGCCGATCGCAGAAATCCGCGTGGACCTGCGAGAGGTTATGCTTATGCCGTTCTTGATTCCTCTAGACAGCCAAAGGGTCCGCCGTCTTCCCAGGCGTCTTCCGCTGAGTTTGCTGAGCCAGGGCGGAAGGCAAAATGCACTGCGGGGCGCCGTGAAGATTGAAGAACGGACGCTTCCTGCAGTCCGCGGGCAACCTGTATGCACCGCACCGTTGGCGTCTCCTGTTGCGTCGTCGATCGGTTGGTCGGCCCTCAGAACCGAACAACTATACCCATACCGCGTCTGGGTGGGGCCTGAAGGGAGTCCAACTCCCAGACGTACGGTGCATGGGGCGCCTTTCTCGCATGCACGCGTAGTCTGCGGCGTTGGCCGGGAGGGAGGAGTTCAGTAGCAAATCGTGGAAGTTTGGTATGTATTCGCAATTCCGTTCCTAGAGTGCATTACCGTTCGCTAGAGTCTGGTAACCGTTGAGACCGCGCTGAGTTCACGTCGATTGGCATCGATGTTGCCTCGGTGGTCGTCGATCAGCGTCGATTTAGCGTTCGACTAGAGTCGGATAGCGTCGGCCTAAAGATGGCAGTGCAGCCTCCCATAAGTTGCCACCGAAGAAGGGCATGATGAGGATGAGGAAGTGGAGCGGCTTAGGTAGTGGGACGGGGAGGCGCAGATGGCAGAATGCAGACGGCACGAGCAGCGTGAGACAGGAGGCGGAGGGCAGGAGGGAGGCAGGAAGAGGAGCCGCAGGACCACGACGGTGGCGACGGCGGCGGCAGCCGCTGCTGCAGCCGCGGCCTCGGCGATGGCGACGGCGACGACGGCGACGGCGACGACGACGGCGACGACTGAGGGCGACGGCGACGGCGACGGCGACGGCGACGGCGACGGCGACGACCACGACGACCACGGCGACCACGACGACCACGCCGGCCC